TGATGAAAAGGAGCGGAGTAAATTCTTAAAGTTTCTGAATGTACTTACAATTTTTGTATTCACATATGAATATGTATGGTATACTGCATCTAACGTCATCGAATAATCCCCGTCCTTTATAGTGTTTTAACATTTTAACGCAACCTTCTGATCTACTTGGTTCGCCTGACATCCATTTATCAATGTTCATGTCATGTCCACTAATCCACTTCAAGTAGTCAGTTCTTGATATTCTCCTCAAACCAATATACCACTCGTTTTCTCCTACATCTAGACTTTGTATCGTCTGGTTGATAAACTGGTATTCCTCTTCTGTTTCCATGGATACCAAGATCCCGCCATTCTCTTGACAAATCTTTTTGCTATCTTCCCAACTCTTTGAAATGTTGTGGAATGAGTAGCACGTATCTTGAGCTTAAAAGACAAATAAACATTAGTGTGTTTATCATTATCTAGGAACAAAACAATTGGTTAAAGCCGAATCGAAATTGTAATGTAAAAAAAAATATTCGCCTAAAATTGTAGAATTTGATTACTGTAACTATCAGTACTATTTACTGAATCATTGGTTTTCTTTGCTTATGTTTAATTCCAGTGCAGCGCCTGGCCCAGAAAATAAGTGTTGTTGTGTATCGCTTGTTCGACTTTGAGATTTTTTCATTTTTGACCATAGACTTGATTGGGTTCCACACCAACGGCGTTAAATCGTCAATAAATTCCTTTTTTCCAGATCAGTTTTACYCATAGACGTACTTTTGATTGTTTCAACACCAACAGCCGGCGTTAAATCTTTAATACATTCAATAGCTTTAGCGTTCCTCTTTTTATATTATTTCTTGACTTGTTCTGAAATATTTTTTATCAACGTTAACATAATTGACAAGCTAGGAGGCTTTTCCAATAACAAAGTAATCTCAGGTGTCAAAATACACTTACCACTTGTACTTATGGTCAGCCACAACGTCCCCAAGACAAGTAAGACAACAAAGAAGATTACATCCACTAAAATAACCGCCATGCTTGTGCCAGGTTTATGAGAAGACAGAACAGAACAGGTTTGCAACTTAGCGGAAACTAAGCCTTCGCAATCTGCAAGTGATTTGATTGGATGGAATACATTTTTTCTGCTATTTGATTGGTTAAATGTGACAGAAAGCTCTTTGAAGGACTTCGTATACTCAAAGGTCTGTTTCATAAGCATGTTAAGATTGTATGTACATGTCACACGTGCGTGCTGCAGCAAGGCGCTGAAGAAAACGTGAATGTATATAGTTTCCCTTTTCTCTTAATCTTTCGCTTTTCAGTAAAATTATTTTTTTGTCCATTTGTTTTAAAACAAACATTGGACGTGCACGTGTTTGAACATCACAGTTGAAAAGGAATCAAAACAAACGTAAGATAGACCGATAAATCAAATATAGATAGGTTTTGGTATATAAGTGGGAAACGTATGGTCATTGACTTACAGTACCTACACGGTGTATGATATGCCGCATAACGTTGAAATGGTTTTCATTGTCTTTCGGTCTTCATCCAATCATAACACACGTAGTCAGGGCAATGGAAATATACGGTCCGGCTATAGAACAGTTACGAATTCGTCGTTTTCATCTCTCAGCTATATAAAAATCGAAAGCTCTATATAAAGAACTTGACATTTAAATTATAAGAAAAATATCGCTGAAGTATCTTTTATGCAGATAGATATGCTTTTTGTATTTATAGTTTTCATTCAAATGCATCTGTTTCGTAAATAATTCAGTATGGAATTGTGATTCAGTTTATAGTCCTACTATATATAATTAGTGGGTTTGAAAAATCGTCCTTGTTCTTAAAAAGGCCAGCACACAATTTGCTAAAACAAACCTGGGTTCTTCATTCCATGAAAGAAACTAAGGGTGATTTACCACGTAGGGAACTATCATTCTTTTGTAATGATTATCTGCTTGGGCAAATCTCCAAAAAAATAAATGAAAGGGAGAAAGAAAGCTTGTATCTTAGCAACTTCAAAAGCAATACATTCCCTTAGCCCAGCTGGCTGAGTAAAAATAAGAGACGTATTTTCTCTGAAAAGTTTAGCAAATGGATTTARTGAATACCAAAAACGGAGTCCACTTGGGCATATCATATTATTCAGTCTATAAGTCTTTAATTTTCGAGTATCAAGTATTGTTATACAAATTACGTTCACGTTTTTGTTTTCATCTTATTTTAATGGCGGTACTCGATGTCAAGAGCCCCCTTAACTGTTCGCATCTTCTATCGAAAGTTAAACCGTCATGTGTCAAGCTGCGTGCGATATTTTAGTTTCGAATCATCTTTACATTTTTCGTTTTCTTATAGGATCCATGTCTTATTTAAATGTATTTTTCATCCTTTCTTTCGTATTTCTGTTTTTGTTTTTTGTTTTTTTGTTTATCTAGAGGGTTTGCGCATCTCCAAAACAAAAATGAGAAAAAAACGAACTTAATCATTATACACTGCGCGCGCACTCAAAATGGCCACTGTAGATCCAATCTTGTACCCAGAGCCTGCGTTTCTTCTGGCCTGCGGCGAAGAATGAGGGCTCTGGCATAATCCATTTCTTGAGACCAGGATTTCTTGGACTTCCGKTATAAGAGCGCATGCGTTCAAAGACTTGYCAAAAATTGAAAAAATATGTTCACGACTYCTAATTTTTATTTTGATGGTAAGTAAACACTGACTCAGACTCTGTTTTAAAGCATGATTTTCATTGCTTATAATTCAYTTCCGRAAAATTGCGCATGCGCCATGCACAAAATGGATTATGCMAGAGCCCTCGTTCTYCGCCGCAGGCCAGAAGAAACGCGCAGGCTCTGGGTACGAGGTCGCTGTAGATCCTTTATATCTTAGATTGTTTTTTTTTTTTAATTAAAATTTTAGTTAGAGGTTTAGTTTAGAAGAGGGACGCTGCGACAGGTTGGCGGAAGTGTAGTTTTGACTTCCGATCAGTCTCCGATCAGCATGTCTAAAATCCAAATAACCGGTTGTCGTCTTCCGTCGCCTTTTCGATCTCGCAGTAAGGACAAACAGTTGACTTTTGAGTATTTTTGCACTAGTTATT